TCACTGTGTAAATCCATCTGGCAGAGAGTCTTTTTCATCAATCTCCACCTTTCCAAGTATGCTGTCCCTCTCCAAGGAAAAGCCTCTTCTAGTAACATGCCCAAAGTATCTGAGACAAAGCTTTATCATCCTTGCCTCCAAGAAGTTGTTTGTTCTTTTGGCAGTCCATGGGATGTTTGTTCAGTACTCTTCTCCAACACCAAAGCTCAAAGGCATAAATTCTTCTTTTGTTATCTTTATTCATTGTCCAGCTCTCAGATGCATAGAAAGTGATTGAAAATCCCATGGCCTGGATCATGCTCACCTTAGTCCTCAAACTGACATCATTGCTCCTCAATAATTTAGAGAGATCCCTGACTACAGAGTTTCCCAATACATGTCTCCTGATCTCCTAACTGCCGGTACCAAGAGTGTTGATTGTGAATCCAAGTAAGATGAAGTTGTCGACAGTTTAAATCTCTTCTCCATCTATAATCCAGTAAGAACTTTTGTTTCTTGGTTTAGAGATGTAATCTGTATTAATGGCTGTAGTCTTTGAAGGCTGGCCAATTGACTTAAAGAGATCCATATTTGTTCCCATTCCCAAAACAGGTGATCCAACAGAATGTAGAAATTAATGAACAATAGCATTACTATCACATGCAAGCAAAACAATGCTGAAATATCATAAAAAAACCAACTAGAACAGTACATAGACAAAAAATTGCTGTAAGTTCAAACAGGATTTAGAAGAAGTCATAGTACCAGGGATATCATTGCTGATGTCCTGGCTGAAAGTAAAGAAACCAGAAGAATGTCTTTTCATGCTTTATTGACTATGCAAAGTCATTTGATGTGTGGATCCTAACAAACATTGAGAAGAATGGGAGTCTCAGAACACTTAATTGTGCTCATGCTAAACCCATACCTACATCAAAAGACTGCAGAGTGAGAGAACACTACATAGTTTAAAATTAAGAAAGGTGTACATCAGGGTTGTATCCTCTCTCCATACCTATTCAATCTGTATGCTGAGGAAATTATTCGAGATGCTGGAATCTACAAAGAACAAATGTGGCATCAGGATCAGAGGAAGATTAATCAATAACCTTCAGTATGCAAATGACACAAATTTGCTTGCTGAAAGTGAGGATAACATGAAACACGTGATACAGAAGATCAAAGACTGTAACTTTCCAAATCTACAATATAGCCATAGTAATCATAATATCATAATACTGGTTCAGCAATAGACACATAGACCAGTGAAAACCCATTCACCTACAGTCAACTGATCTTTTACAAAAAGACAAAATTCATTAAGTGAGAAAACAAATGGTGCTGGCAAAATTGGACATCCACCTGCGGAAGACAGAAACAAGATCCACATCTTGTACTAGATAATAAAAAACAACTTAATGTGCCTCAGAGACCTAAGGGTAAAACGAAAAACGGATTATTAGAAGAAAAAATAGGGAAAAATTTAGAAGCCATTATCTATGACATGAATAGACTTTCAAACATAGCCAAGAATCCATAGGCAGGAAAGGATAAAATAGATGAATGGGGCCTTCTAAAAATCAAATATTAATGTGCATAAGAAAATTTCTTCAATAGAGTAAAAAGAAAGCCTACAGGTAGAAAAAAATATTTGGCAATGATGTATTGATAAGGGACTCATACCTAAAATTTATAGAATACTCCAACACCTCTACAAGAAAAAGACAACCCAATTACTATTTGCATGACAGCAGTCCAGAATAAGAGCTGCATAGTAAAGTACACTGATAGGTGGGGTGTGGGGAGGAGAAAAGTGTAAAATAATGAAATAATTTTTTTCAAAGAGAAAAGTGAACTGGGGGATGGGGATGGGCAATGAGGAAAATGTGCAACAATAAATGAATGAAAATCCATGTTCTCTATAAACTCATTAAAATCTCAATAATTAAAAGAAAAAGAATTGGGGGGGGGGAACCACCAAAATGAACAGAAGATATGAAAAGGCTCTTCATCAAGGAAGATGTTTGCATGGCCCACAAACACATGAATAAATACTCAAGATCAGTAGCTATTAGAGAGATGTAAAGCAAAACAACAATTAAGTATCATATCACCCCAATAGCAATGACAAAATTCAACAGGAAAGCAAACAACAAATGCTGCCAAGAATGAGGAGAGATTGAAATTCTCACACACTGCTAATGGTATTTGTAAAATGGTACAGACACTGTGGAAGGCAGCCTGGTGCTTCCTCCACAGGTTGAAAATAGAAATTTCATTTGATACAGTTATTCTACTACTCAGAATATACCCTAAAGAAATCAGAGCTGTAACACAAATAGGTGTAGCTACTGCAGCATTATTCACAATAGCGAAGAGCTGGAAGCAGCCCAAGTTCCCATCTACAAATGAATAAGTAAATAAGAGAAATTTAGGTACATTCATACAGTGGACTACTATACAGCATTGAAATATAGTGTATTACTCAGGAGACACTACACAATATGGACTGTCTGCCAGATAAAATAACCCAGTCACAAAATGACAAATACTGTATAAGACCACTATTATAAACATGGGATTATTGAGGGTGTGGTGGGAAAACAGAAAAAGAATGGATAATGAACTCTGCATTGAAACAGGTCAAGGGAAAATCAATCTGAAATGAACAATCAGATTATTATATGTATTGCAATTTGCAATTCAGAACAGCACATACCTTGTGAGTTCAAGGAGGTGATAAAGAAGGGGGAATCCATAGGAATAAATGAGTGGAAAAGAAATTTCTTTGTAAACTTTCATTCAAATAATAATAGTAATAGACTAAGGAGCACCTCATGCAAGGTATGGTATTTTTTTTTTAATTAAAAAATGCCTTAAGTCTTTTTCATTGTTGCACATTTTCTTTTCCTTCTTCTCCCCCATCCCAGATTGTTGTCATACATATAATGCCTAGTCGTATATTCCTTTCAGACAGTTCTTCCCCTCATCGGATCTAAGGCAGTGTTCATTACATACCACTCTTTTCCCATTCTCTCCCCAAGCCCCGCCATATGTGTGCTATTTTATAACAGTGGTGTGATGCACATTTGTCCTTTTATAACTGAGATAATTTCCACTTAGTATAATGTTTTCAAGCCTCCTTCATGCTGTGTAATGTTTTGCAAGTTCATTGTTTTTCAATGCTACATAATATTATATTGTGTGAATGTACCATAGTTTTTCTATCCATTCATTTGTTGATGGGCACTTGGGTTGCTTCCATCTCTTGGCTATTATGAAAAACTCAGCAATAGAAGTGGGTGCTTATTGCTCAAACATCTGTTTGATTGTAGCTCTGGTTTCTTTAGGGTATATTCCTAACAGTGGAATTGTTGGGTCAAATGGTGTTTCTTTTTCCAACTTTTTGAGAAAGCAGATCCTCTTCCATAGTGACTATACCATTTACATTCCCACAGCGGTGATGAAGAGGTCCATTCTCTCAACCTCACCAGGATTTGTTGTTTGCTGGCAGGCTGAACTTTGCTATTGTTGCTGGGGTGAGATGCCATCTCATCATTGTTTTGATTTGCATCTCTCTGATAAGCTATGGTATTTTCAGCTGCATCCTATGTATCTAAAAGTTGGACAATAATGCCTTTTAATTGTGGTATTGGTGAAGAGAATTGAATATGTCATTGACTGCTAGAAGAAAAACTGATCTGTCTTGGAGGAAGGGCAACCAGCTTCTCCTTAGAAACAAGGATGGTGAAACTTCAACTCGCTTACTTTGGTCATGTTATCACGAGGGGTCAGTCTATGAAAAAAGACATTGTGGCAGGAAATACAGAGGTTCATTGAAAGAGATGACAACCCTTCGCAAGATGAATTGACACAGTGATAGTACCATAGGGCTGGAGCATACGAGAGCTGGTGAGGGTGGGGCAGGATAGAACAAGGTTCAGATCTGTTGTTCATAGGGTCACTGTGCGTGGTCATCAACTGGACAGCACATGCCAACAGTCACAAGTTCCAAATAACCTCATATTCTTCAAAAATCAACATTATTCAAAAATGGAACCTAACTGTATCATACACAACTTCCAAATTACTTCATTGGGAAACTGCTGATTTGCATCATTATGTATAACCGCCAAATTGAGAATCATGTCCCAACCAAGTATGGATAAACTCACCCATCACCATCAGCATTATAAGCCTTCCATCTTACTGTCCATTACTCGCAGAGAAACTTCAATGTATAAGGAGAAATACTAGATAATGAGGCAGTTGATAAGGAAGGAGAAGGTACATAAAGAAAAATCTGTTTCTTCCTTTGTGTCCCATTCTGGTTTCATAGTCCCTGTAAGAATGGATTTTTTTTCATCTCCGCCTTTATGTGGAAGGTGTGGTTCACCCTGTAACTGGGAACTCGGGAACATTTAAGAATATCTATAATAGGGCCTGCAATATCTTTCTCCCAGCCCCTTTTAATTTGTCCAGGCTCCCAAAAGTCCTCCTCAGCCCCACCTGGCTCTGAGGAACCCAGAGCAAATCTTGAACATGGGTTAAACCAAGTCAGAACAGTCCTCACTTCAAACAAACCAATCTAGTCATCCACCATGCATTCATCAGAGTTTTGGTAACCAGACTCCAGTACTGGGGTGGAATATGTATAAGAAGTCACTTGGACATCAAAGAGCAAGGTGGTGGCCGACAGTCAACCAATGGTGCTCTTCCCCCTGCCCTGCTGATGACCCATTCTTGTGATAATGATAATGATTCAAGAAGATTTCCTGGGATTGTTTTCTTTAGCACTGAAAAACTGACTTGGAGATGGAGAGCCTTCATATTTGAGGACTAGAGGCTAACTTGTCTCTGTGTGCCTTGCACATTTCTGCAGTCCAGGCAATAGTTACTTAGAAGATTGTTACATGCTTAACAACCACATATGTGCCAAGAGGCTCCCCCTTGCTGAGACCAGGGTTGTTTGGGGTGCTGTTCATGATTCTCCCCATAAATGCTCATTTTGTCTTTTGTAGTTCTCCTGAGTGGCACTGCCTTGGTCCAGCTGAGCGGAAGCAGCTCTGTCACACTGCTCTGGATGATGGAGAATTCTGGTACAGTGCTAGTTTCTCTCTTCATTACACCATTAGCAACAGCTATCTATGTGCTCCATGACTGATTTCTTTTCCTCAAACACACCTGTCCCCAAGTCCTTATTAACCTCTTACGCTGGGAAGAAATTTAACCTCAGTGATGTTTTCAGGGAATTCCCCATCTCTGTGTTTGTATGAATTCCAAGGGAATTAGTGCAATCCAGGAAAGAGAAAGTGTAGAGAAGAACCTCTGTTCCCTATCCAATATCCAGGTAACTTTGAGGACAGGTAGCTCAGCTGCTCACTGGGTCTACTCTCACCATGTCTCTCTGGATGATAAGAGCTTTGAAGGTGCTACATGCAGAGTATTTTAAAGAATGGACCTAAATGGGTGGGTGGTGCTAATTTCTAATCTGGTTGCTCCATGGGACAGAATGTCTTTGTTTACTTGATATTTTTTAGTGGGCCTTTTGTTTGGAACACTTTTTCTCTATCTTATTTCTTACAGTCTAGAGTATCAAGATAGTTGATCTTTCCAACCCTGCAAAGACCACAAATTTCTGGGCGTTTTGGCTCAATTTTCTTTCATGCTCTCCAAGCAACCAATTCTTGCCTTAATTAATATATTTCTTGTAGCAACTTGTTTAAAAACAATAAAGAAAGCTAATACACTTCCCGCCCTCTCCTTTTCCCTTAGAACACAACTTCAGAAGACATTTTTTCCACGTTCCATATTTTCACAGGCAAAATCACAACATACATTGCCATGACAGAGCACAAGTTGTGGACACCTACTTCTAAGTTTCAGTATTTCCTGTAGCTTTTCAGCTCACCTGCTAAACTCATCCCACATGTTTCAGACCTTTGTTCCACTCTCCAAGGTACCAATGTCAGCAGCTGTAAATAATAGACTAAGAATGTAAAAAAAAAAAAGCCCGATCAATTGAGTTTATTTCTCTCACATTCATTGTAAGAATTCTAGGACAACATTCCTATTCTGTGTCTGACTTTTTCCATACATTGATTCAGGGATTCGAGTTCTTTCCATTGTGTAATTCCACTTTTCCCTAGGATCATGTAATGCTCTTCATATATATAGCCAGAAGAGATTAAAAGGAAGAGATTGGAGTAAATGCTCTACTTCCTGAAAGCCTTAACCTAGATGTCACATAGCTGCTTAGATTACACTGGGCGTAGCTAAGGCTTCTAAGATGAAAGGTGCAGTGAAGCCCCAGGCCCTGCTCCAGTAGGTGAATTTCAGTGGCCTCTTAGCCACCTTTGTCTCAGGAACCATGAAAGCCCAATTCTCAAGACCTACAGAAACCATGCAGGGTGCTTGAAAGCTTCACCCACTGGTGAACTGGAAATCAGAGACAGAAACACCTAGGGCTAGGGATAGAGAGATGTTCTAGATTACATCTGGATTCGGTCACAAGAACAGGGAGAGGAAAGTAAACTCAGGAATTGCTGTTACTGCAGGAACTGTGCACTATGGCCAGGAGGAAGAGGCTGATCAAGGGGCTGTCTGGGTCTGGCTGGTGGAAGATCTGGCAAAGGGCAGAGTATGACAGAGGAAACAAGGAAGTCCACACTGGGAGGCCCAGCCAATGAGGATGCCCCTTCTGATGATCCATTGTCCTGACCACAGACACAACTGCTGGCTGGAAAGGAACTGCACCTGACACTTAAATCTGCAATTGTTCAAGCAAGGAATTGTTTGAAGCTCATCAGCACTCTCTGAATTCAGCCTCTCCTTCAAGGATCTGACTTATCAGTCCTTTCTAGTCACTCTTCACATTTCCGCTTTCACCACTCCAGAAAGTATTTCTGCAAGTCTCCCCACCTGCCTCTCCATGTTTATAGATAGCTCCCTTTCCATTGCAGCTTTAGTATTAATGTACAAGTGCTGTGATTTATTCCAAATCTTAGGTAAAAAGTCTCTCAGGCTCCAATCCATTTATCTGCTCTCATCAGGAACGTAGCTCTCATCCTTGCTGTCTCCACCATGACTTGTCTCCACCATGACTTTCCCCTACATTCCTCTAACATTGCTTCCATCATCAACACCCCTCCACCTCACTTTGCTAACTTTTCTCTTCTTGGTTTGCCTTTGATGTGGTTGGGACTGGGCTCTTTGGACCCTGGGAAGCCAAATACTCACCATTTCCTTCTACATAAAAGGCTCTTTCTCAATGTCCTTTCCTAGGTGATCATCATAGTTATAACTTCTTAACATTGAAATATCATGGGCCTCAATCCTTAGACTCCCTTTTCTTGCCATCAACATCCCCTTTGTAGCTGAGATCATCTAGTTTCACATCTTTACATGACAATGTTTATCTTCAGGTTCTTTGCACAGAACTTCAGACTCATCTGTTCAGCTGTCCACTCAATATCAAATTGACATTTCAGCATAGTACAGCTAGAACTGCACAGCCGAGCGAGTCTCCCAGTCACTTCACAACCAACCTTCTCCAACTCTAGTTGCTCAAATCAAGCATTTTGGATCCTTCATTGATTCCTTCCATTCTCCCCTCCCCTACAGTCAATCCATGAGCAAATCCTGTGGAATATAGCTTCAGAATATGCCTACACACTGACTACTATTACCATCCCTCCAATACCAGCCTGATCTGAGCCACACATCTTCCATCAAGACAAATGGCATGCACTTCCAAGCTGGTCTCTCTGCTTCTACCTTTGCCCCATGAAGTCTGTTCTTAACACAATGGGTCGAAAAGCCATGTTGCTTCCCTGTTTCACATCTCTGTTTCAGTGATTTTCCATCTCCTGAGTCAGAGCCAGAAATCTTTAAGATTGTCTCCGAGACCCTACATGACCATATTTCACCACTGTCTTTGCGTCCTAGCTCTTGCTGACATCCTCCCTACTCTGTGTCTGTCTTGTTGGTCTGCTTGAGGTTGACTGAGCATGTCACAGACATATCTGCTCAGGTAGCTGTTCCCCTACCTGCTTGCACTCTGAGTCTTCACTCACAACTCACTTCTCAGTAAGGTCTTCACCTCTGTGTTCTACCTTTTTGTCGTGTTTTCTTTTTTCCTGTAGCACTGTTCATGCACTGTGTTTCCCTGTCTCTGTGTGTATCTTCTGTCTCTCCACACTGGCAGGTAAGCTCTGTGAGGACAGGAGGAGATGCTTGATGAAGAGCTGCTAGATGATGAAGTGGTCATGTCATCACAGTCACCCTCTCACGTGCTGTTTCCCTTCGCTTGGTTGCAGGATGGCATTCAAGGATTTCAAGGCTCATTTTGACAAGGTGGAGATTTGCAACCTCACTCCTGATTCCCTAGAAGATAATGCAATCCACAAATGGGAGGTGACGGTCCACCAGGGAAGCTGGGTTCGGGGATCCACAGCTGGGGGCTGCCGAAATTTCCTGGGTTGGTAGTCCACTCTGAATCTCTCTGCCTTTCACAAGGGTCAACCAGAGATATCAAAGGGACCCATGACAGTAGAATCAGGACCAGGAGCAGAGAAAAAGCCAAAAATGTAGCATGAGAGAGTATGATTTCTGTGAGAACTGGACAAAGAAAGTTGTAGAGATGTAATAGGAAGTTAGATAAGAACTGCTTAGGTAAGCTCCTTTGTTTTGTTTTGTTGTTATTTTTTTTTATTCATTCATTTTTGCACATTTCCCTTCCCTATTTCTCCCTCCTCTCTCCCCCAGTCCACTTTGCAATGCACTGCTTTTTCCAGATTGTTGTAATACATACAATACCTAATTATATACTCCTTTTGGACAATTCTTCCCCTCATCTGCTCCATTGCGGTGTTCATTATTTATCCACTCTTTTCCTATTCTCCCCCCAGACTCCTCATGTCAGTCCTATTTTATATCAGTTTTATATCAGTGGTGTTATGCTTTATCTGTCTTTTTGTAACTAAGATAATTCACTCAGCATAACGTCCTCCAGGGTCACCCATGCTGTGTAATGTTTTACAAGTTCATTGTTCTTCAATGCTGCAAAATATTCCATTGTGTGAATGTACTGTAATTTTTCTGTTCATTCATTTGTTGATGAGCACTTGGGTTGCTTCCATCTCTTTGTTCTTGTGAATAACCCAGCAATCAACGTAGGTGTTCATACATCTGTTTGAGTCTTGGCTCTGATTTCTTTAGGGTGTATTCCCAGTAGTGGAATTGTTAGGTCAAATTATATTTCTAACTTTTTAAGAAAGCACCAATCTGCCTTCCAGAGTGGTTGTACCCTTTTACATTCCCACCAGCAGCGAATAAGAGTTCCATCCTCTCCATACCCTCACCAGCATTTGTTGTTTGTTGGCCTGTTGAACTTTACTATTGTTGCTGAGATGAGAAACTCCCTTGTTTTTTATCACTTGGGTTATTTACTGTTGTAAGTAATGCCATGTTATGTCATGTAATATACCGTCAAGTTAGAACCGAGAGCTGACCTTCAATGACTTTTCAGAGACAACAGATTGCATAGAAGGAGACTGCTCATCTTTCTCCCATGAGACAGCCAGGGGATTTGAACCATGTGCCTTTGAGTTGGCAGCACAACTCTTCATCACTAAACCACAAGAGCTATAAATAATACCAGTTTATCATTAAGAAGGTTTTATTGGACTACATAACTGAAAGGTTTAGAGAAATAGGTGAGCTTTTAGGTAGAGTTCTATCAGGGCTCTGGCTCAATGTGTTTGCAATTCACTGCTCAGTGTTGTTCTTCAGGATAGTATATACCTATATGATCACAAAAGGGCTATCAGCAGTAATCAAGGCTACCTGAGCCCTCATTGCCATGCACCGAGATCATGAAACAGTCTTCAGCTTCCCTCTAATTGGCAATGTCTTAATGAGCTGATTGGCTTTGTTCCAATTCTCTGTAGCAAAAAGGATGAACATAGACTAGATGGAGTTCACCTTTGGAAACGGGAATGATTAACTCTCCCAAAATTGCATAATCATGAAACTGAGGCTGAACAGATGCTGAGGACATAGCTGCAGGCCCACTACACTCTTCTTTGAAAAGCCAAGTGGAAGGGAATAAGATGGAGCCAATATTAGACATCTAATCTCAAAAGAATATATGTTTTTTAACTGTGTGAAGAACGGTCTTAAGAGGAGGAAAGTAAAAAAAAAAACAGAAAAAATTTTTTTCAGGTTTGGGAAGATGGTGTGTGTGTGAGTGAGAGAGAGAGAGAGAGAGTGTGTGTGTGTGTGTGTGTGTGTGTGTGTGTGTGTGTGTGACTGTTGTTCATGGTTTTTGGTTTATTTGACTTTTTTTTTTAGGTAAAAGACAATTTCTCTCTTTCAAATGGCAGATACCTTCTGGACCAATCCACAGATAAGGTTGTCCCTGACCGAGAAGGATGAAGGGAAGGAGGAATGCACTTTCCTTGTAGCCCTGATGCAGAAAGATAGAAGGAAACTCAAGAGATTTGGAGCCAATGTCCTCACCATTGGTTACGCCATTTACCAAGTATGTGGGAGTCAAAGGCTCTTCATAGTTCATCACCTGAGTTTAAATCCCTTGTTCCTCCTCTTTTACACACCTGAGGCTCAATATCTAGTCCCCAAGTTGTCCAGAAGCTCAGACCAGTGGCCCTCTCTTGTCTTTTATTTTCACTGCAGAGCCCTGGCAAAGATGAACATCTGAACAAAGACTTCTTCAGATACCATGCCTCCCAGGCCAGAAGCAAAACATTCATCAACCTGAGAGAAGTCTCTGACCGATTCCAGCTTCCTCCTGGGGAATACATCCTGATTCCAAGCACTTTTGAACCACATCAGGAAGCTGATTTCTGCTTGAGAATCTTTTCTGAGAAGAAAGCCATTGCCCAGTGAGTAATATATTTGAAAGTATCTGTTTTGTAATGGTTCCTTCACAAAGAAGCCACCACAGTGTGGTATGACCTTCTTCTCTTGTCCACTGTCTACCTAAGAGGCAAGTTCAGAGGATTTCTTTGCCCATTTGCAATGTAATGTACATTTCCTCATTATCTGTACTTCTCCCTCCCCCAAACAGACCGAGAAAAATACATTGGGTGGTAACCATATTTACAGATACATATTTTTGTGAACAATAAGGTGAAGTGCCTATCAGTGGTTTCAAATATAGCCTGTTCTGTCAGCTCCTATCTCAACAAATGTGGACAGTCTGCCTACCATTTTGCGTACACAGGTTTCTCCCAGCTCTACCTCACAATATCTTTGCCAATTCTTTTTCTATCTCTTTCTTTCATGAAAAGTATTTTTATTCCCAGTCTCGATTGGTTACTCTGTTAGAACCACAAATGATAAAGGTATGGGAGTTCATTTATGTTCCCAATGTAGACATTCTAGGGATTAAGAAGAATGGCAAAATCTATGCATTTGGCATGTAAACTCCAGGGAAGGAGCATCAAGGGTCAGAACACTCTGCTGGCTGTTTCTTTACCTTCCACTTTGTGGGTAGAATTTGATTCATGGTGTCCATTGAGAACTTCAGATTACAGTGTGGTTGGATTTCCTGGGATGATCAGCATGGCCTGGTTCTTTCTTTTGTATTAAATTGAAGCAGTAAAGCCTTAATAATTTTTTTTTTTAAATCTACTTGAGAACTGTTCTCCAACCTTCCACCAGAAACTAATAAAAGCTAAGGACTAATTTTGCATAAAAGCACTAAGTTTCACACAATCGTACCATACAAGAGACATACTGTTCAGCATCTCTTGTTAATGACAAGAACAAGAAGATATCTGTGCCTACCCTGTGCCTCATAATGTCCTTCCTACTACAGGGGTGAGCTTAGAGCCCTCAGAACCAGCTTTTAAGCTCAAGAAGAAACCTGTATTGAACTGCTTCCACTAGCTTAACTTCCAAGAGAGAGTTCCAAAAGAAAGAAAACTCTGAAATATTTGTGCCATGTGTGACTGGTGGATGAGAGGTGTAGGAAGAATTACTCTGGTTCAGTCTTCTTACTTTCCATCAAGACAGCTCTGACTCCTTTCCGTCCTGTGGGGAATGGAATGAAATGTGTCCTAGGCCGGTGTTCTCTGCATGGTGGATATGCCAGAGTCCACCGTTGCCTCCCCTGTACGTACTGAGCGCCTTCCAACGTAGATAACTCTTCCTCCAGCACTATGTCAGACAATGTTCTCTTGTGATTTTGGGATTGTCACAGGTTCCTTTGCAGAGGCAGAGCTCCAAGCCTTTCTTCCTAGACTGTCTTAGTCAGAAAGCTCTGCTGAAACCTGAAAATCATGGGTGAAACAGCTGGTACTTGAAATATCAGTGGCATAGCTACCAAGACCACGGCAACATGCAAGCCACCACAGTAAAAACCAGCTGGAAAGCAGGATGAGATTATATCTGAATCCATTTTTATTTCTATTCTTTTTGAGTGTTTATTCATCTTTCTCTAGGGAACTCTCGTGGCCTCGTGGTTAAGGAGTTGTGTTGTCAACCCAGAGGCACACACTTCAAATCCTCCAGCTGCTCCACAGGAGAAGGATGGCCAATCTCCTCCTGTGCAGTTTATAGCCTCTGAAGATCCACAAGCGGGTGGAGGGTCAGCTATGGCACATACAACAACAGGTTTTCTCTAGGAGGGATTTAGGCTTTGAACGCTAAGACGGAAGATTTCGGAAAGATTTTTGTTTTAACCAAAGCTAAAGCCTGTTCCTCCTCTCCTGTCACTGCCACCCATGTCCCACATGTTCCCTTACTTATGCGGACAACAAAAAGAAACATTTTCTTTCTTTGCCTCAAACATAAGCACACACACATACAAGTGTGCCCTCTCCCAGTGCAATCAAGGATGCACCTCTATGGGAAAGGGGCAAGCAGATAAAGGATGCTGCTTTCAGAGGTGGTTTTCCCTTTGCATAATTTTTTTTTATGCAGACTCATCTTGCTCTATAGCCATCTTAAAATCTCCCATGAATGATTAAACTTTGATGATAGGATTAATGATTTCAAAGATGCGGAAGACAAAACAAAGTATGATAATAAAATGTGCAAAAGCTAGAATCAGAAAATCAAGAGGAATGAACTCACTCAGCAATTCTTAAGCTGAGGGAATTGAAGAACAAAAAAAGCCTCAAGTTGGAATAATTATGGATGCAATGGACAGAATATTCAATGATCCAGGAAGAATCTAAAGAAGGTGGAAGGAGTATATAGAGTCACTGTACCATACCAAAAAGAACACCTACTCAAGAGGCAGTGGTGATGAAGGAGCAAGTACAAGCTCTGGAGGAATTGGAAAAAAATAAATCCCCAGGGATTGATGGAATACCAATTGGCATATTCCAACAAACGATGTGCTCGCAAGGTTGTGGCCAGAAATCTGGAGGACAGCTATTTGGGCAACTAACTAGAAGATATCCATATTTATTCCCATTCCAAAAAATGTGATACAACAGAATTTGGAAATTATCAAACTATATCACTAAAATCACATGCAAGCAAAATCTTGTGGAAGATTATTCGAAAACAACTGGAACAGCACATCAACAGAAAACTGCCAGAAATACAAGCTGGGTTTAGAAGAAGCTGTGGCACTAGTGATAAATTGCCAGTGTCAGATGGATTTTAGCTGAAAGCAAAAAGTACCAGAACACTGTCTTATTTGCATTTTATTGACTACGCATAGGCATTTGACTGTGCGGATCACAACAAATTGTGCGTAACTTTGAAAAGAATGGGAATCCCAGAATACTTGATAGTGCTCTTGTAAAACCTATACTTAGACCAGTAGGTAGTTATCAGAATAGAACAAGGAAACCTGCATGGGTCAAAGTCAAGAAAGGAGTGTGACAGGAATACGTCCTTTCTCCGCACCTTTTCAATCTACATGTAGATCATTCAAGAGGCTGAACTTTATGAGGAGGAATAGAGCACCAGGATTGAAGGAAGATTCATCAACAATTTGTGGTATGTAGATGGCACAACCTTGCTTACCCAAACTGAGGAGGACCTGAAGCATTTGCTGCAGAAGGTCAAGGACCACACTATTCAATATGGAATGAAGCTCAACATCAAGAAAACAAAGATTTTCATCATTGGGCCAATTGGCAGCACCGGGATAAATGGAGAACAGATTGAGGTTGTTAACAATTACAGCTTGGTCAGATCTACAATCAACACTCTTGACACTAGCAATCAGGACATCAAAAGACAAATTGCATTGGGAAAGGCTGCTTTCAGGGACTTCTTCAGAATGCTGAAGAGCAACAGTGTAAGTCTAGAGACTAAGGTGTGCCTGATTCAGATCGTGATCTTCACAATTACTTGCTATGCATCAGAACAATGACTAAAGACAGAAGAGTTGATGTCTTTGAGTTGTGGCACTGGAGGAGAGTATTGAACATACCATGGACTGCCGAGAGAATAAAGAGGTCTATCCTAGGAAGGGTGATACCACATTGCTCCTTACAGACATGAATTTTGAAACTCCATCTCACCTATTTGGGGCATGTTGTCATGAGTGATCAGTTCTTGGAGAAGGACAATATGTTTGGAAGGATGGAGGGTCAACGTAGGCAAGAAAGACTTCTGGTTAGATGGACTGAAACAGTGATTGTGGCAATGGGGGCAGCTGTGCTAGAGACTCGCTCAAGATAGGGCAGAGTTCAGAGCTTTTATTAATAAGATCACTACAACATCCCACAACAACAACAACAACAACAAATCATCTCTAAAGAATATGTACTGCTGTAGAGTTGCAGAGTTTAAGGGAATGAGCGTGTATGCAATGAAACAGCTCTACTCATGGGTGCTGGTAGCTCTAAAATACAACATCAGGGACTAGGGGGCGACTGCTTGCTTGACTCCTCTCCTGGAAGTCTAGAATTTTCAAAGGCCCTTTGTTTGATGGCCACATGAGCCTCCCCCATGGTCTCAGCATCTGAACAAGGTCAGTGGTCAGATCTAAAGCCCTTTGAAATGCAAATGATCCTGAAGGAGGCGGCTCTGTGGATAAGAAACTCCCAGAATATCCAGGTCCTTTCACTTTGCAGGCTTCAATCAGAAAGTCAGCCCACAATTGAGTCCATGTACTTTCTGCCCCCACAGGGATATGGATGGACATGTAGACATTAAACTTCCTGAGGTAAGTCTTCTCGAATTACTGTCAGGATGGGAATCAACAGATGGTCTTGGAAGCTTTATTTGTAACCAGTGTCATTGAAAGTCATAGAAAACCAGTGTTATTGAAAGTTCAGGAAGTGACTATGTGTTGTCAGGGAAATCTATAATTCCAACAATAGTGTTCTGGAGAACAATACTTATGCCTTTAACACTGTATCATGCAGGGTCTGGGGTGAAAACAAGATAGCTATGTGGTATAAAGTTGCTCTGTGTGACTCTGTATCACTAATTCCCTCTATCCCTGCTGCTTCTGAAGGGAGTAAAATATCTTCAAGATGTATTTTATTTAGGAAAAACAATTCATATAAGGAAAACAAGAGATATAGGTAGATTCTTTTACTGTGAACCAAAAGGAAAGCACTCCTGTTCCCCTATGGTCCATGGAGGGGTGGAGGTGGGGGGTTTGGGTGTGTGTTGGTGACACACAGAGAGAGATTTTATACCAGTCAAAATGGCTTTAACATTTTTAAGAGGCACTAAGGTGCAGTTAGAGTCTTAGGAGGGTGTTTGCTGCCCTCTCTGGGTTACACTTTATTCGTGGGCCAAAGCAAACATGCATTTCTGAGCGAGCTCTTCTTATGCACAAAACACAAATTCTTACCCTCCAAGATTTTACCATAAACCAAAGCGAATCCACCACCCTCAAGTCTAATCAGACTCATAGCAACCTCTATCAGATTTCCAAAGCTAATAAATCTTTACGGAAGGAAAGTGTCCATTTTTCTCCCACCAAATGGATGGTAGAATCAAACTACCAGACTTTGGGTTAGCAGCACAACACAAAATTCATTATGCCACTAGGACTCCTTTCCACTGCTAAAACAGTTAAACAAGTGATTCTTTCTAACCAAGAGTAGTGTCTGTCAGCACAGAGAAAGCACAGGGAGCCATGAAGGATCTGTGGCCATGGTTCCAGCTTGGCCTCAGGGTCAGGCCAGGCTCCTTTTAGCCTTCCCATCTCTAAGGTGAGAGAGGATCAGTGAGTCAGACATGGTCCTTGTAGACTGCCCCACACTGCAGAGCTGGCCCAGCAGGAAGCTCCAGGTAAAGGCTACCACAGAGGTGGGAAGGGAATGGGGACCCAGTTGTTTCTCACCTGGAGACACTGTTCACCCAGTGCAATCTTCTCCTCTTTCCTTCTATTTTTTGGCAAGTTTGTATTCTATGCACATTACTTTGATTGTATTTTAGCCTCCAAAGCCAACCTCACCTAGCCAGGAGACTGAGGATGAACGACAGTTCCGAGCCCTGTTTGAGCGCATTGCAGGCGAGGTATGAGCACACAGCACACAGCCCCTCTCTCTCCTGCGTTCTCCCAGCCCACCCACCTTCATTTCTAACCAGATCCGAGGGGCCTGCTTTTCCCAAAATGAATGTACCAAAGGCTGTGTTGTCTTCTCGACTCAGGGTCTGGTTGCAAAGAACAATTTTTTTCATTTGAGAGACTCCCCAAAAATAACCATACAAAGAGGTTTCTAATGCCATTCTGCTCCTATTATTGGGTAACAAAAACCAAAGAAGCACAACATGTGCCCAGAAACTTTCCGTTGAAGGCTGGTGAAAGCTTTCATGAGGCCACCAGCTTGAATTCTGCCATCAGGGCAGTACACCCACCTGATCTGTGTGAAGGGGGTGTTGCTCAGGGAGGCCTCTATTGAATGGCAAGCACTTTGGGAAGGGCTCACCTGGCACAGTGTATTTATGTCCACACTAAAGGAGTGCCCCAGCTCTGGTAGCCCTGAGGAAGGACCTGACGAAGGCAGCCCAGAGCCAGCCACAGGAGACAACAAAGGAAAATGAGTCTCCTCACCCTCCCTGTTGCTCAGCATCCTGGGGGGTCTGTGCTAGAAGCTTCCCTCCCAGACATTCTACTCCCTCTACTCCCTTGGAGTTAGCAGTTGGAAACCACTTACTGGGGCTTGTTACTCTTGTGGGGTGCCATCAAGTACAACCTACAGAGACCCAGCATACAACAGATGTTAACCCTGTCCTATCTTGTGTCAAGCCCACAATCTCGGACACACTCATGCCCATTGGTGTGATCACAGTGGCAATCCATCTGGATGAGAGCCTTCATCTCCTTTGCTGGCCCTCAACCTTTCCAGGAATCATGTTCCTCTCCAAGGAATAACCTCCCCCACTATATAGCCAAAGAATGTAAGATGAAGTTTCATCATCTTTGCCTCCAAGGAGCATTCTGGCTGCACCTTCTCCAAGACATACCTGTTTGTTCTTTTGTCAATCCATGGGATATTCAGTACTCTTCTCCAACACCACAGCTCAAAGGCATCAATTTTTCTTTTGTAATCCTTAATCACTGTCCAGCTCAACTTGGACTTACTTACTAGTAATTAGTAAACAATTTTGTTGGGTTTTTTTCTTTTCACTAAATCAATGATTCTGCTTCCTGTCATGTCTAGTATCTGTCCCATTCCCAAGCTTACAGCACCTTCCTATAGGATCAAAGTACTTTTTCAAATTTGCTGTCCCTAAGAACAAATTCAAGCCTTGAGTTGCAATACTTAAGGGTGCTGAAGGCAGAATATTAAATGACCCAGGAAACAACAAAAGAAGATGGAAGCAGTACACAGAGGCACTATACCAAAAAAAGTTGGCTGACACAGCAGAATTTCATGATCAAGAGCCCATGGTGATGACAGAGAAATTTTGAGCTGCTCTGAAGAAATTTTTTTTTCCCTAAACAAGTCCCCAGGAATTGATGGAATACCAATTGACATATTTCAGCAAACAGATGCTGTCCTGATGTGCTCACTAGCTTCTGCCAAGATATCTGGAGGATAACTACCTGGCCAACTGATTGGAAGAAATCTGTATCCATTCCCATTCCAAAAAAAAAGGAGACCAATAGAGTGTAGAGAATTATTGAATGACATCACTAATATCACATGTAAGCAAGATACTTATTAAAAATTGTCCAGAAATTACTAGAACAGTATATCAACAGAGAATTGCCAGATATGCAGGCTAAGTTTAGAAGAGGTCATGGCATTCGGGACATCATAGCCGATGTTAGATAGATCTTGGATGAAAACAGAGTATGAGAAGAATGTTTATCTGTTTCATTGACTATGCAAAGACATTTGACTGTGTGGATCACAACAAATTGTGGTAACCTTGTGAAGAGTGGGGATCCCAGAACACATGGTTGTACTCATGTGAAACCTATGCTTGGACCAGGAAGCAGTAGTCAGAACAGAGTAGGGAAATACTGCATGGTGTGCATCAGGGATACATTCTACCTCCATACCTTTTCTATCTATATGAAGAACAGATCATTTAGGAGGCTGGACTTTATGAGGAGGAATGTGGCACCAGGTTAGAACCTGTGTTATAAAGATGACACAACCTTGCTTACTGAAACTGAGAAGGACATGAGACATTTGCTGCAGAAGGCCAAGGACTGTAGTCTTCAATATAGATTGCACCTCATTGTCAAGAATACAAAGATTCTCACCACTAGGCCTATTGACAGCTTCATGATGGACAGAGAAGTGATTGCGATTGTTGATAACTTCAGCTTGCTTGGTTCCACAATCAACACTCTTGGCACCAGCAGTCAGGAAATAAAAGATGAATTGCATTGGGGAGATCTGCTGTCAGGGACCTCTCTAGAGTACTGAAGAGCAATGATGTCACTCTGGAGACTAAGGTGTGTCTGATCCAGGCCATGGTCTTTGCAATTACTTGCTATGCATCCGAGAGCTGGACAATAATTAAGGATGACAGAAGAAGGATTGGTGTACGCCTTTGAATTGTGGTGCTGGAGAACAATATTGAATATATATGGACTGCCAGTAGAACAAACAAGTCTATCCTAGAGAGGATGAAGCCAGGATGCCCCCTGGAGGTAAGGATTTTGAGGCTCTGTCTCACATACTTTGGGCATGTGGTCAGGAGGGCCCAGTCCTTGGAGAGGGATATCATGCTTGGAACAGTGAAGGGACAGCACAGGAGAGGAATACCCAGGAAGAGATGGACTGACTCAAGGACTGGAATAATGGGTTTAGGTCTTCAGAGATGATGAGATTGGCTCAGGATAGGGCTGCTTCAGAGCTAATATACATAGAGTTGCTGTGAGTCGCAGGCGACTCGATGGCACATAACAACAACAAAAATAAAATACAAGCACTGCAGCCTTCAATATGGAGCTTGGGTAGGGAGCTCTTGTGACCTAGTGGCAAGGAGTTGCACTGCAATCATGAAGGCACATGGTTTGAGGCCACCAGCTTCTCCACGGGAAAAAGATGGTCAATCTCCTCCCATGCAATGGTCAGGTATGGGTCAATTATGACTCTATGGTACACAACAACATACAAGCACTATAGCCTTCAACATGGATTACATCTCAATTTCAAGACAAGAAACATCCTCACCACTGGATCACTAGATAGATGGAGAGATTGAAATTGTCAATGATTTCATCTTACTCGGAGTTACAGCAATACCCTTAGTACCAGCAGTCAGTAGATCAGGAGATTTTTAGCATAGGGATAGTCTGCTTCAGGGATCTCTCCAAAGTCCTAAAGAGCAATGATATCAGTTTAAAGACTAAGGTGGATCTGACTCAGGCCACAGTCTTTCCAAGCACCTGCTATTCATCCGAGAGCTAGACAATAAATAAGGATGTCAGGAGAAGGATTGATGCGTTTGAGTTGTGATGTTGAAGACTGCTGAATAGCCCATGGACTTCCAATATGTCAATGGACTTCAGCTATGTCTTAGAGAAAATACAATCAGAATGTTTCTTGTAGGCAAAGATGGTGAAGCTTCTTCTCACACATTTTGGACGTGTTAGAAGAGGCTATTTCTCAGAAAGAGACATCATATTTGGAAAAGTAGAGGGTCAGCGAAGAAGATGAAGATCCTCAATGAAAGGATCTTACATTGTCACAGTGTCTGCAACAATGGAGTCAAATATGTCAAAGATGAGAAGGATGGTGCAGAATAGGACAGAGTTCAGATCTGCTGTTCTGAGGGTCACTATGAGTCAACTCGATGACACTTAACAACAACATACTTTGGACATGTTTTTAAGAGAAATTATTCTTTGGAAAGGGGTGTCATAAAGGTGAAATGTCAGGAAGAAAACCCGCAGTTAGATGGATTGACCCAGTGACAGCAGCAATGGACTCAAGTGTGTGAGAGATTATGAGGACAGTACAGGAAAGGACAGGGTTCAGATCTATCATTCCTACGGTTGTTATGAGTTGTACTAGATCCAACAGCACCTAACAGCAACAACAATAGAAGGAAGAGGATAGCCTATCCAGTGCGAGGTAAATACAGGTTTCCCTTGCTTATTGGATAACCCACTCTTGCATGGAACTATAAACATGTTTCCAGACTTTCTCTCCTGTAAGAAGCATCTAACAGTCTATCAGGTGCTTCTTCTTCCAGGAGTTGGTTGACTTCATGTCCACAGTTACACAAAGGTGATACTGAGGACCAGCTCAACCCTTAAGCTCACTGAAGCTCAGAACCTGCAGAGACTCTAAAAAAATAAGGTGCTGAATGTCAAAAAAGTCCATTGTCTCCACTTCCGTAGGACATGGAGGTGACAGCAGAGGAACTGGAATACGTTTTAAATGCTGTGCTGCAAAAAAGTAAGTTGCTGCCTGGTCCCGGGAACCGCTGGGCAGACTTGCTGCCTTTGTGTCCCTCAGCGCCACCACGTCTCCGGCCTCTCAGAGCTCAGGTCTACTTTCCAGGGTGATTTTAGGTATAATTTCCATTGTTCATTTCCTGATTACAAAAATTACACAGGTCCATTGTAGGAAGTTCGTAAGTAATGCAGAAAATCTACGAGCAGATATAAAAACTGCTAAGAGCCTCACTACCCATAATAAGCCACCATCTCTCTCACACACACACAAGTAACATTAAATTGTAGATACAATTTTGTCAGGGAGCTCTGGTGACCTAGTGGGTAAGGAGTGGCATTGTCAACCCAAAGATAGGTGGTTTGAATCCCCCAGTTTCTCCACAAGGGAAAAAGGGACAATCTCCTCATATGCAATTTACCATTTTTTGAGATAATTATAACTAACTTAGTGATACAATCTTCATTTCAAATTTTTTGTGTGCTTATCTGATTGTTTGAGATTCTTAAACTAAGATCAATAAAATGGTATTCACATTTTAAGGGCTATTTCCCCAATTGGCAGTGTTTTTCTTCCAGAGGAGGTCATGCCAACAGGCCACCAACAGCGTGGATCAGGGTCCCACCACATTGATAAGCCCTCAACAAAGTAGAATCTAGGACGTGTTGACTTTGAGGTCATCTAATTCCATTTCCATGTGTGATTTCAGAAAAGGACATCAAGTTCAAGAAGCTGAGCCTGAATTCCTGCAAAAACATCATTTCTCTAATGGACGTATCCTTCCAAATGCTTGAGCAGAAGTGTTGTTAATCTGGGCATTGTGTACAGTGTCTTCCTTTGCTGCAGCTTTTTCTAGATCACCTTAACCAGTAAGGTGGTCTTCTTGGTGGAAACCCCAAGTCTTGAGAAGCTAGAATTGCGCTCTGGGACAGAATTGAGATACAGAACCAATCACCGTGGGTGGGTGAGGGGGAGGGGGAGGAGGGAGGCTCATCAATGAGAGCCTGCTTGCCCCTTTGAGGCACCATCCAAGACATTGAAGAGGTTTGAGGTCTTTTCCTTCTTCAGAGACTCATGGTTTAAGAATCAAAACCATCACAGTTCTTATTGAGGACCTGGTTTTGTGCCATCCATGCCAGTGGGGGAGCAGTGGTAGGAATCTCTTTTATTCTTGGAGACTAGGATTTGATTTTTGGCCCACTAACCTCATGTGCAGCCACTCCGTGTCTGTCAGGGGAGGCTTCCTTGTTGCTGTGATACTGAACAGTTGAGCAAAACCCGCAGACCCAAGGTGGGTCATGAAATCGCAGGCAGACAATCTGTTTCCAAAAGTCAGCCATCGAGAACTCTGTGCGTCACAGTGCTCCAGTCCCACTGGCCATGAGGTTGCCAGAGTCAGCACTGACTTTCAGGCATCTAACAGCAGCAATAATGTGCCGGGCAGGGTGTTCCTGGGCCATCATACCGCTCCCTTTAAAGTCCCCAGATCTCAAGTCCCCTGAGGATCCTTGGTGACTGAAACACGACTCATGTCTTCCTTAACCATGTGGACATAGACGAGTGGCAACGGAAAATTAGAATTTGATGAATTCAAAGTGTTCTGGGACAAGCTGAAGAAGTGGATTGTACGTAACCATGTCCAGGGCTTAACCATAGGAAGCTGGCCACAGCCTAGAGCAGTGGATTTTAAAAGCTAAGACACTGCAGGCTGGAGGATTTGTGTTTATCAAAGAGAAAGAGGAGAGATTTTTATAACATTCTGGCACTCGAGGGGGTACCACAGAGCATCCTCTCAAATAAAAAGGAAAACAAAAACAAAAACACCAAAATCCAAAACCCAGAAGTGAAAGAAAATATCAACAATTTTGGGTCACCTCATCAACCACTCCCCATCGGTACCCCTGTGGCCTGTCAGTGCCCATTTGTGGTAGGAAGGTCATAGAAGGTGTTTTCAGTCAGTATCTCTGCTCTCCTCCCCATAGAACCTGTTCCTTGAGTTCGATGCAGATAAGTCTGGCACCATGTCTTCCTACGAGCTGCGGCTTGCACTCAAAGTAGCAGGTGAGGAGACTCCCGAGAAGTTTGCTGATGTAGCTGATGTCCCAACCCCACGCCAGGTGCTTTTTGTCCCTTGTCATCTGCTTCCACAGCCCATCACAGACTTCATGGAGACTTCACAGTACTGCCCCACAAGCTGGGTCTCAAACCATTCACATTTTCCCTGGTTGTTCATTCACTGATAGTGGCAGAGCAGATTTCATAGCCCATGCTTGTTCCCGGCACTTTTAACTACTATGCAGCTTTGGTTGTGGTGGTGGTTGTTGTCATTGTTAAGTGCCATTGAGTCAAAGATGACTCATAATGACCCTATGAACAAAAGACCTGAACACTTGTGTGACTTTCATCATTTCTCTACTTCATAGAGTTTCCAGAGGCAAGCTATTTTGGAAGTGGATGCCACTCCTGCTTCCAAGCTTGTTTTTTTTTGTTTGTTTGTTTTTTTTTTTATTTTATTCTGATTTATTTACAAAGTTTGAATACATTATTTTTCCCCAAAGATCCTTCCCATTCCCTTCACCTCAAACATCCATTGACTGTATTTTGTTATTCAACATTACAAGAGCAATTCTTGTATCGAGATCCCAGAACTAGAAACGTTTTATTTATTTGCTTAAACTTAAGAATCTGCAAGAGAAGATGACCCTGGATGATATGGATTGACTGAGTGACTGGGGTAATGGGCATAAGTGTGTCAGAGACAATGAAATGTGCTCGAAATAGAGCAGGGTTCAGAGCTGTTGTACATAGGCTCACTACGAGTTGAAGACAACTCCAAGGCACATAACAAGAAGTTGCAGTTGGGAATAAAAGCCTAGAAGTTTACATCTGAAACATCACAGCCTTGAGAACCCTATGAGGCAATGTTCTACTAAGCAACACATGAGGTTGCCTTGAGTCAGAATCACTTGTCTGAAAACTATTTTTTGTTGTTTGTTTCATTTTGCTTTATTTTTAAAAATCAGCATTGAGGGAAGGTGTGAAAGATTATTATGCATATAAAATGTTCCAAATCCTCTCATGAGCATTTCTCTCTAGCAGAAATCACCAGTTATTAAAATGGTGTGCCAGGGGGAAACATCATACAATTGGTGACATTGTGTTGTTTGACATTAGGCAATCTTTTTTTATTATTATTAATTTTAATAGACATTTACAGAGGTTTTGGATTTCCATTCATTCATTGCCGCACTTTTCTCCCTGTCCACCCCTCCCCACCAGCTCGCTTCCCCTTCCAAGAGAAAAAAAAAATTCCTTCATTAGTATACAATTCCCACGTCCCTTCCCCCCACCCCCCACCCCGAGTACACTTCTCTATGCAACCTTAATTCTGGATTCCTGTGCTAACCATAATAATCATATATCACTTCTAATCTGTTCTTTCCCTCATCTGTTTCAATACAATATACATAATTTATCCAGTTTTTTCTGTCACACCCCCACCCTGATGTCAGACCCATTCTACAACAGTGGCACCATGCAGTATTTGTCCCTTTGTGACTGAGATATTTTACTCAGCATAATGTCCTCCAGGGTCACCCATTTTGAATAATATTGCATGAGTTCCTTGTTTTTCTATGTGTTGTAGTATTCCATTGTGTGGATATACATACCACAGCTTCTCTATCCATTCATTTGTTGATGGGCACTTAGGCTGCTTCCAACTCTTTGCTATTGTAAAAAAAGCTGCAATAAACATGGGTGTGCATATATCTACTTGGATGGCAGACATGGTCTCTCTGGGGTATATTCCCAGTAAAGGGATTGCTGGGTCAAATGGTATCTTTATTTGCAATTTTTTGAGAAAGCGCCACACTGCCTTCCACAGTGGTTGCACCATCTCACATTCCCACCAACAGTGAATAAGAGTTCCAGTTTCTCCACATCCTTGCCAGCATTTGTTGCTTGCTATTCTGTTATATTTTGCTATTTTGACTGGGGTGAGATGATATCTCATAGTTGTTTTGATTTGCATCTCTCTTAGAGCTAGGGACTTTGAACATTTCTTCATGTGCTTGTTGGCCATCTGAATGTCTTCTTTGGTGAAGTGTCTGTTCATACCAAGCTTGTTTTAATTGGGGAGCTCCACCAAACACTGTCCACTGTGGGTAATCATTATCACATTTGATACATCAGTGTCACAGTGTTTAGCATCACAGCAACCACGAGTTACCTCTAAACAGCAAATGGACAGACCAGAGCTATGCCACTTAGAAGAATGTTTGACCAAAAACTATTAAAACCAGGCCTAACAGCCACAGATTAAAATCACCCACCTTTGGCTTGGCAGGAATTGCAAAAATGCACCCAAGGGAATTTAGTTTGCTCCCAGAGGCCTCTCACTAGGGGCATTCTGGCCAAGCCGACTTGTGCAGTACTCATTGGTAGATGACCCTCTTCTGATCTCTGCTTTCTGACCAGGATCAGCACAAAGCGTTCAGAGCATGTAGAGGCCCGTGGACGCTGGACTTGACCTGGGCCTCTAGGCTCCAGTCACATATTTTGTGCCACCTTTGCTGAACTGTGGCTTGTGAACAGCAGACTCTACATCTAATTAGAATTCTTTAGTCATGATTTATACTGTTTCCTGATTTATACTGTTTCCATTTCTCTATCCATTGTCAACCACTACATACTGGCTTGGGTCTACATTTCAGCCTCCTTCACTGCCTCCTCCTGTTCCTGACTGGGAGTGCCCAGGGAGGACAGTGTCTTGGAACTCAGATATGGGTCCTGGGTCTGTCTAATCCCTCTGCAGGTTTTCAGCTGAGCAGTCATCTCCTGCAGCTGATCATCCTCAGATACGCAGATGACGAGCTTCAACTGGGCTTTGATGACTTCCTCAACTGCCTAGTCCGACTTGAGAATGCAAGCCGTGAGTGTCCAGGGGGCCCTAATGGTGCCACTTGACTTGTAGTGAGCCTGGGTGATTAGCAGGAAGCTCGGGTGGCAGTCTGCAGTGAGTTGCTAACGCACAGGCTTGTGTGTCTCTAGTAGTCTGAATCCACCAACAGTTCTGCAGGAGAGATGTGGGGAGTCTCCTCCCATTGCCATTCACAGCCTGGGAAATTAGACAGACACCCCTATGAGTCAAAACTGACTTGTCAGCAGTTAGTTTGGATTTTTGGAAAATGGCTAGCTAAGCATTGGTTCCAAGTTTCTGACTCTTTTCTACTTTATAAGAACATTTCTTATAAAATCATTCATTATGTTCAATACCTTTGCAGCAAAGTGATAGGGCTAGGATAGATTTCCATCTCTGAGGAAAAGTCTCTTTTTAGGTCAGATATATTACTGCTCATATAATCAGGAATTCCTCTGTGTGTTTTATAAGCTGCCCTAGACATTGACACAGTTGCCTTGTTCTCGGAAAAAAGATTTGTTACAGGAAAAAAATCAAAACAAAACAAAAAACAAACCAACCCAACCATGGAAAGATGATGTTTGGATGGTCTTTAGAGCTGGGGGTTTGCTTCCATATCTGTCCGGCTCTCACAGAGCCATGGTCACAGTGAAGTGGAATATAAGATGTCCAGGAAGCTGGAAGTGCAGGACCAGGGGCCAGTTGCAGATGCCACTCAGGCCAGTGCTTGCATGAAGGGTCTGTTGTTGCCATCTGAAAACTCTTCGTAACATTTCAACAAGGGCTCTGATACTCCTTTTGAATTGAGTTTAGCAAATTATGTAGCCAGTCCTGCCCTGCACTCCCTGGTGTGTGTTTGATAGGAGACTTCAAGAAATGTTTCAAGCAATTGCTTCTTTGGAGAGACCTACAACATTCATAATGATGAAGGAACCCCAGCCTGTATCCTTTGCCTGAATATCCTCCTAACATAAAAATCTCAAGAAACCAAGTAAAACAGACAGAAGTGACAACATCGGAACACTGAAAATCAAATTAAAGGATGAAGAATTAGACTGAACTCCAACTGGAAGGAGAGACAGAAAGAAACACATGAATGTGGAGATGTACAGACTTTCTGCACCTTCCCAGCCACCTCAGCCCAGAGGCAATATCTTGGGTCAAAGAAGATAGCATTCTTCAGTAAGGAGCATAGAAAAGCAGCCTGCACAGAACTCACAACAGGAGGAGATACTGTGTAAATAAACTAGGCTCAAAATGAAGTGGACCGGACATATGCCAGGCTCAAAAGGAAACATACGGGACAACTAGGCAAGAGCTCCAGTGATCCTGCCAGCCACAGAGAGGAGAGTGAGCCAGGAACTGGAGAGGGGTCGATTCACCAGCACTGGAGCCTCACCATCTGGTCAGAAAACACCCGCTGAATAAAAGAGCTACAGGGAAGCTTCTAGAGAGGCCAAATCAGCTAACTTTCATGTACACACACACACACACACACACACACACACACGCATGCGCATGTGTGCCTTTAAACCAGCCAGACCCTGGTGACCTAAGACAGCCAGATGGGAGCACTGCCTCATCCAAGCCCAGAGAGCAGCCCCTAGCCCACCCAATTAGGAGACCAGTAGGAGCATATTTGCATCCAGCAGGTAATGGGAGTACATCCACTGATTGGTGACCATCAAGAGCATTCCTGTGGCCTGGTGATAATGTTCCTGCAGCTTGATGCAGGAGCATGTCCACTACCCAGTGACTGGAGTAAGAGCATGTGCAGCCTGGATACTGATGAGAGAGCACCTACCTACAGGTAGCATGTCGCAAGATTGCACTCAACTGCCCAGAAACCTGCCGGGACACACCTGCAGCCCAATTACTGGAAACTGGTGGGACAGTGCCTGTGTCCACTGCCTAATAACCATTGTGGTCTCTCACTCCCACCCTGTAGTCAGAAATGCACCCAGCAACCACAGGTGTGCCTCGTACCCTAGTCCAGTGGCTAGCAGACACACTTCTTCTAATGACTGCCTGGTCAGCAGGTGCATCCATCCCTAGTCATCACCAGGTGCATTCTCCACAGAACACATCCACACACAGGCAGATAGCTCTCTGCTGACACCCAACAATCACTGGGTTGCAGTGAATCTTACAATTTGTCTGTGAAGAGGACACACCCAGCCCCCTGGATAGAACTGCCACTCTGTGACTATATAGAAAACCTGCCATGCTCTCTAGCAAATGTACTACCTGGTAGCACCCTGGAAAAACCCCACGGACCACTCAACATATGTTACTAAGGAAAGAAACTCTAAAACACCTACATTCGATGTGATAAGGAAGTATGTACAAGCTCAACCATTGATGACTCACAAGATGATTGTAACCCACCATATTCACAAGAAAGAGGAATGTTAACCATATCCACTAGTGAGAGGAACCATAGACAAAAGACAATGCCAAAGTCACACATAGACCAGAACCACAAAGACCTCCTGCCCTGACCTCCAGAGAAGGCACTGACGGTCAGCACAAAGCTGCAGCTCTAACATAGTAGAGACAGCAGATAGCATCAAATGCTATTTAAACAAACAAACAAAAAACAACAAGATGGTTCAAGCAAGTGGTCAAAAAATGAAAAGGGAGAAAAGACATCTGAAGGAGAGATGATAATAATGAATTTAAGACATATTGAAATTGGGGAGAACAGAAAAACCTCTAGAGTAACTCAGGGAAACCATACAAGAACAAAATATATAGTTAGAAGCAATACAAAAATAGCACCTAGAAAACCAGTAGATTAACACTACAATATCAGAAATAGATAACTTAATGTAAGGACAGAGAAGTAAAATTGAATCAATGAAGGCTAGAATCAGCAACATACTGGACTAATTCTTAGATATCTGTATGAGGAAACAGCAGGGGGAAAATGAAGTTAATCTAACCGTTATTTAGGATACAATCAATAGATTCTATTGGGTTTCTGAGACCAAGAAAAAGTACAGAGACGATTTTTGAAGATTTCTTGGCAGAAAATTAAAGATGAGAGGCTTTTTATCAAAGAGCTCAAAGACCCCCATGCAGGACACACACCTCCCCCAAAGAAAGTAATCAAGACATAACATAGTCAAACTCTACAAAAACAAAGTAAAAAAAAAAAATCTCAGAAATTATGTCGGGGGATAAAATGAAATGTCACTTATAAAGGAACAATAAAGTCTGATTTCTTGTCAGAAACCATGCAAGCAGGAAGATAATGGGAAGACATAGATAAAATTCTGAAAGAAAAGAACTGTCAAACAAAGGTTCGTATATTCCATAAAACTGTTTCTCAAATACAACGATGGAATTAGAACATTCCAAGAAAAGCAGACATTAAAGGAATTTGTGAAAACAGACCAACCTTATAAGAAACATTCCAACAACATCAACCAACAATTTGCTGACCCAGGCCATGATCTTCACAATTACTTTCTATGCATCAGAGATTTGGACAATGACTAAAGATAACAGAAGAAGAATTGATCCCTTGGGTTATGGTGCTAGAGAAGAGTATTGAGCATACACCACGGACTGCCAAGAGAACAAACAGGTTTGTCCTAGAGAGGGTGAAACCAGGCTGCTCCTTGGAGGCAAGGATTTTGAAACTCCATCTGACATACTTTGGGCATTTGGTCAGGATTTGCCAGTCCTTGGAGAGGGAAATCATGCTTGGAAGGATGGAAGGACAGTGCAAGAGAGCAAGACTCTGGATAGGATGGACTGACTCAGTCACTGGGGTAATGGAGTTAGGTGCGTCAAAGAGATTGTCTCAGGATAGGGAAGGGTTCGGAGCTCTTCTGCATAGGGTCACTATGAGTCAGTCACAGCATAAAATGACAACAAAAACCAACCCAGGCAAATAAATCAAAGAATTAATATAAAGCTATAAAAGTGAAAATGCAGAACCAGAAATACCAATTTTCAAATGGTAACAACCTAAAAACAGAAAGAGGATAAATAATACAGTTGTAGAATTTCTACATGATCTCAAGAAATAAATAGATTTAAGTGTAGGAAGGTAAAGGAAAATAACAGACTAAGCACAAAGAAAATTAATAAGCCTAAACAACAATTCATCAAACAAAAAGGAGGAAAATCATAGACTCAATCCACATAAATCAACAACAAAGGGAAAAAAAATAAAATCAATAAACAAAAAAACCTCAATGCAGAAAATTAAGCAGAACCAAAAAAATCAGTTACACACACGCACACACAAAAAAACAGCATAACAAAATGGAAGTATTTATCAGTACCTATCAAGAAGCACACTGAATAGAAGTGTTTAAACACATAGGTTTAAGAGATAGGAGTAGAATGGAGAAAGAGGTAGCAGATAGTCTATCAATGTGTTACACATGTCATCACAGCACCAGATAACTAAGATAACTTTGTGAATTTAAGAATCACCAGCCCAGGAAATGCATATTATTCAGTGGAGTTTCAGCCAACAATTCAAATATATGGGGGTTTGGGACGTGGGATTGGGCTGGGTGGTGTATTGCAGATGGTATCACATTTCACACACTCCTAAGGCTGCCAAGCTTATAGCAATCACAAGAATTCAAAGGGCTTCCCTTTGGAGAGGGCCCAGCCTGCCACTTCAGAGAATGGAGTTGAGGTGGAAGAGCTCACTCACAGACTTCACAGAGAGGCCCCACAGTGGCTGGAAATAATGCTGGAAATGTTCAAGTTATCTCAACAATGATGCCTTTCCCATGTCTCTCCTACCAGGAGTGTTCCAGACTCTGAGTGCAAAGAACGAAGAAGTCATTCATCTCAACATAAACGAGGTAAGTCCAAGCCAACTCCCTGTTGAGTGGGCACTCATGAGTGTATGATGAACGCATGACTTTTGTGAAAACTCTCATCTATCCCCCTGTGGAATTGATAATGAGGAAAGCTAATGCTTTCAGAGGACGAAAGGATTGTATAGCAAGGAAAGAATTTTTCTTTTACTTTACAAAGAGAAGAGCTAAGTGAGGGGGAGGGGTAGGTAGGGAGAAAAGTGCAACAATGAATAAATGGAAATCTAAAGTCTCTGTAAACTTTCATTAAAATTAACAAAAATTTTAAAAAGGGGGAAAAGGATGAAACATTTAGTAATTTAATAATTGCAATAACCTTTGAGTTAAGAGTTAATACTACACCCACTTCATAGAGTTGGAATCCAAGGCACAAAATGATTAAATAAAACCTTGAATACAGTGAATATTCAAACTCTGCCTTCTTGTCCTTCTCTTCCTTTTATCGATGCCCTTCCTTCTAGTTTATACCTTGTTCGCTCCTGTGTGTGTGTGTGTGTGTGTGTGTGTGTGTGTGTGTGATGTGTGTGCCAGCAACTTCATCAACCAAGAAATACAATCTTCCTACCAGTTGCAAAGGCTGACAACAGCAACAGTGATGGTGGTAGGATGGCCTGGGTCAGAAGCTGGGACAAGGGGAACATTCCTGTTGGCTTTGATAAGCCTTCGCTAACACTGCCATTCAAGTGCAGTCCACTGACTAGAGCCTGTCTCTCACCCCAGGCACGACTCTTGAGTCACGATTCCATTTTAACAGGAGCACACTGTTCCCTATGCACCTTAAGTCGGAGGAGTGCTGATGACATATTCTCCTATACAAATGCAAGTTTTCCTTTGAGAGTTTTTGTCTCCTTTATGACTCCCTACACCCCATTTTTTTCTTCTTCTTTCTCTCTGTTTTTCTGCCCAGCTGTACTGAACTGTGCTAAAGCCAGGCAGCACGTGTCTCTGTGTGCTGTATCATCTCTCTGGCATTTTTCCTTTTCATCATGCCAATGCCCATTTCTTAATTTAGTAGTAACTTGGGGTTTAGACAACACTTCATTGAATATTCACAAAAACAGAGGTCAGAGAACCTCCTCCCCTCCCTTGCTCTCTGCTCTGTGCCTGTTTTATCATTTCCACAAAGAAATTAGTAATTCTAGGCCTTAACCTTATACCAAAAGTTTTATTTATAGCTGTCTCATATATTTGGTGTGAATTATTGTGTTGACTCATGCCTAATCTTCTCATGTGTGTCGCTCTTCACCTTTAATACGTGGAAGGAACTCCTTTGATACAGAAAAGTATACACACTCAAACTATCCTTGGATGAAAACAAGAAGGACCCCCACCTCCATCTCTTTTTCTATTTATTCTGCATTGAACACTAAGGATCAAAGGCCAGATGAATTGTGGGGTGATATTAAAGATATCATTCATGAAAACAGCTAAAAGTCATTACAGACAAAGGAGAAAGAAAAGACCAAAGTGAGTGTCAGAAGAGACTCTGAGGTTGTGTGTGTATTCCCAGTGATTTGAAATCCCCAGCTGCTCTGAGGAAGAGACATATTCCATCTCCCTCTGCTAACATTTATAGCCTCAGAACCAGTGCAGGGTTTCTATCAGTCAGAGTTAAATCAACTCAGGGAGTTCAAGTTGTGTAGAGGCTTAAAATAAAGCCAATCCCAGAGCAATAGAGGAAGACTTCAAGACTTCCAAGGAAGAAGAGTCAGGCATGGAGCAATCCTCTGGAGCCATAATATCTGTTGCTGAAAACCTCCTAGATTGAGGACACAAAGAGATTTGTAATACCAGACAGTGAGAGATAGCAAGAAACTTTGACAGAGAAACTATGGTAGCTGAGACAGCACAATCAGGAGACTGCATTATGGTCTCAATTCCTTTAGGCAAGAGGCTTGCTAGTGTTGTGGGTTGCCTCTGGCACTTCTCAATGCAACGAAAAAGCTTTATAACACATCTCAGAGCAAGACAGACACCAAAAGGCCCCAAACTGAGAAGCTGAAGGTCAGAGAGAAGTTACCTTTGAACACAGCTGAGGAGAAGCTGTCCTGAGTCCTTCCTGATAGTGAATTATAACCTACTACTTTGCTAATAAAACTCATAACTGGGGGGTTGGGGGGTACTCTGAAATCTGTACTAAAGTATCAAGAAGCCAAAACAAAGGGAAAAGATGCCAAACTATAAGATATGAGCAGAAACAATGGAATACTATGCTGCATTAAAAACCAAGGAACTCATGCAATATTACTCAAAATGGTTGACTCTGGAGAACATTATGCTGAGTGAAATATCCCAGTCACAAAAGGACAAATATTACATGATGCCACTGTTGTAGAATGGGACTGTCCTTGGGGTTGGGGAGAGACTGAGTAAGATGGGTTCAATAATGTATACTGCACTGAAACAGAGGACGGAGAAAACTCTTTAAAAGAGATATATAACTAGGTATTTCTGTCGTCACAGGAGTCTAGAGCAAGGGCTACATGGTGGAGGGGACCTGGGGGACGGTCTGTAAAACAATGAAAGAATCCTTTCTTTTACTTTTCCATAATTTTTGACTCATGTACTTATAACTTGTTAGTCAAATTTGTGTCTTCTAGGTTGCAACACCCCCATGATACATCTTCAAGGATATGAACATGTACGGCCAAGCACAATCAATAAGAGTGCATCTAAATTCCAAAATCAATCTCCATAATAGTCTATGTGTTTCCTACTGCCAAAGGGGCCCTTTAGAGTAGTGAGAGAAGATCTTCACCCTGAAACCCACAGCGTCCCTTTTCAGCAGGAAGTAGCTAAGAGAATATGCCATCCCCTTTTCCTTATGAATCAGGGTGAAGTCTCTCTCAGGGAGGAGTGATAGGGAAAGGCAAAGGACACACCGACAAAGGAGATTAATCAGAACTGACTTTGACAAGCACTGTGGCAATTGGACAATTAAAACAGACATTCGGATGGCGGGGAAGAAGAACAAACTGGGGAGGAGGGTAGAGAGAATGGTGCAGCAATGAAGGAATGAAAACCCAAAAATCCCTGTAAATGTTCATTAAAACTAATAAAATTTAATAATAAAAAAAAACAAAAATAAAGATATGAGCAGAAGATTTCAAAAGGGCAGCTTGAAAAATCAAAGCAAAGTTTTAATGGAATGTGCAAAGAATCGGAGAATAAAAAAAGAATTTGTTCAGCATTTCTCAAACTCAAAGAGATGGAAAAAAAATATTCAATATTCAGCGACGCTATGGGGAAAATTTTTGAATGTTCCAGAAAGCATCAAAAGAAGATAGATGGAATACACAGAGTCACCATACAAATAAAGAATTGACTGACACTGAAATATTTCAGGAAGCAAAATATGAGAAAGAGTCAATGGTGATAAAGGAAAATCTTCAAGCTGTGTTTAAGGCATTGGCCAGAAATAAGGCCCCAGGAATTGATGGGACACCAAACGACATGTTAACGGATCCAGTTCTGGATGTGGTCACCAGTCTGTGTCAGGAAATTTGGAAGATAGTTACCTGGCCAACTGACTAGAAGAGATCCATACTTGTTTGTTCCCATTCCCAAAAAGGTGGTCCAACAGAATGTGGAAATTATCAAACAATATCCTTAATATCACATGCAAGCAAAATATTGTTGAAGATCCTCCAAAAACAGAATAGTACATCGACAGAGAACTGCCAGAAGTTAAAGCTGGATTTAAAAGAGATATTATTGCTGATATCATATGGACCGTGGCTGAAAGGGAATATCAGAAGAATATCTATTTGTGTTTTATTGACTATGCAAAGGCATTTGACTGTGAAGATCCTAACAAACTATGGCTAGCCTTTACAAGAATGGGAATTTCAGAACAATTAATTATGCTTATAGGAAATCTATAGCTAGACCAAGAAGCTGTTGTCCAAACAGAGTAAGGAAACATTGATGTTATGTGCTGTTTAGTCCCCTGCGGCTGACTCATAGCGACCTTATGTACAACAGCTCTGAAGTCTACACGGTTTAAAATCAGAAAAGGTATGCATCAGGGCTTTAGCCTTTCTCCATACCTATTTAGTATTTATGCTGAGCAAAGCATTCATAGACTATGAACCAGAGTGTGACAGCAGGATTGGAGGAAGGCTCATCAACAATCTGTTATGCAGATGATACAACTTTGCTTGCTGAATATAAGAAAGACTTGAAGCACTTGTTGCAGAAGATCAAAGACTGTAATCTTCAATGTGGATTATATCTCAACATCAAAAAATAAAAATCCTCACCAATGGACCAAAGGGCAACATCATGAGAGATGAAGAAAAGATTAAAATTGTCAAATATTTTATCTTGCTTGAATCTATAGACAACATCCTTGATGCCAGCAGTCAGGAGATTGGGAGAGGTATAGCACTGGGAAAGTCTGCTGTCAGGATCTCTCCAGAGTCCTAAAGAGCAATGATGTTAAAGACTAAGGTTCATCTGATTAAAGTCATAATCTTCCCAATCACTTGCTTTGCATCTGAGAGCTGGACAATGAATAAGGATGACAGGAGAAGAATTGATGACTGAGTTGTGGTGTTGGAGAAGAGTGCTGAATATTCATGGATTGCCAAAGGAACAAACAAATCTGTGTTGGAGGAAGTGCTGCCAGTGTGCTCCTTAGAGGAGATGAAATTCTGACTCATATTTTGGGCATGTTGTTATGAGAGGCTGGTCCTTTGAAGGCAACATCATGTGTGGAATGGTGGAAGGTTACTGAAGAGGAGAAGAAAGATTCTCATTGAGATGGATTGACACAGTGCCTATAACAATGGGCGTAAACACAGGGATTGTGCAGATGGTGCAGCATCAGGCAAGGTTTCTTTTTGTTGTATACAGGGTCTCTATGAACAGGAATCGACTTGACCACACCTAACAACAACAAGCCATTGCTTCAGGTGCCAAGTGCAACTTCCAACCCATGAGTCCTGGGGCAAGGAGCTGCCAGGCTTCCTGATCTCCTTATCCTTCGCCCATCACCTCAACCAATGCAAGTTACGTGGTACAAGGCTCCTACTCCTTTACAGTTAACTCTTTCTGGACAGAAGGAAAATCCCTTTCATTGTCTCCCTTCACTTTAAACTTTGCATTATTCTCAACTCTGGCTCCATGTTAAAATCACCTGGAAAGATTTTAAAATTCCAGCTAAATCTAAATCTCATAGAGTGAGGCCCAGGCACAAATATTGTTATTGTGTACTATCAAGATTGCAGTGCAGCTCCTAGGCCACCAGAGCTCCCTAATATATATATATATATGTGTGTATATATATATATATATATATATATGTGTGTGTGTGTGTGTGTGTGTGTGTGTGTGTGTGTGTGTGTGTGTGTGTATGTTGTTGACTGCGATCAAGTCTGCACAACTCATAGCGACTCTATGAACAAAAGACCTGAAATATTTCTATAACTACCATCATTTATCAAAGTTCATAGAGTTTCCTGAGGCATATTGTTTGGGAAGTGGATGCCACTCCTATATATTTTGGTTTTTACATATTTTTATTGGCTTGCATATAATCCTTCATATGCATTGTGTTTCATGTACATACACTGCTTTATTTACTCTTCCATCAACATTGTGTTTCATTCATGCACACTGTATTTTATACAATCATTCAGATGTTTTGTATTTTATATCATTAATTACTATTGATCTATGCCTATTATCAAAAATTTTCTGGTGGTTCCTACATAGTGTCAGTCTTAACTCCCATCCTCCCTTGCACCTGAGAGACAGTCACAACCTGTCTCCTGCCTGAGTTGGCCTCAATTGCAGTCGCTGGTAAAAGGCAGAGTCCTTGAATGGCATGAATAATTAACTTGTTGTTGTTGTTATTGTTGTTAGGTATCATTGACTCGAGTACAACCCACAGTGATCCTATGAACAAAAGAT